GGCCGTGGAAATCCGCCAGATCACTGTACCTAGAACCATGAACCGAGTCATGCCACACATCGGGATTAATGATGATACGAGTAGCATAGCGAAACGAAACCCAGATTTACAATGTGAAGTTGCACATATATACTTTGTATAGCCCTCGCAAAACGCCTGAAAAGAACCGGAGCACGCGAATTCTTCGGGATCGCGTCAGCAAGCGGCTTCTCACGTCAGCCCCCGGATTTGTCCATCCAAGACAGCCATTTTTATTTAATTCCAATAGAATCTCTCAGATACTAGTAAAAACAAAAAAAAAACTAGAACTCCTCAACACAACTCCAACAAAGCCCTGTATACGATCGATACAAACACCACAAACATGCCAATAACCACCCTCACCTCCGTCCTCCGTATCCCATTCCCACACCCCAACACAGCCCAAGATCGCCTAACCCTGGCCCTCAGCGCCGCAGCGCTACTCGTCTCGACGCTCATCCTCCCCGCCGCCTACCGCGATTACAAAATCTTCAAATCCTACGGGCCCGGCGGGCCACCGAACAACGCGCTGGGGTGGGTTGTCGTGCGCGCGCTATTCCAGCCATTCGGGCGCGAGATGTTCAGCACGGACGAGTATGTGAGACGTATTGCGGCAGCCGAGGGCCACGGGAAGGGCGATGATGGGTTTCTGTTCTTATCCGAGGAGCAGTTGGGGAGTCGGCGTGGGGAAGAGAGGCCTGTTGTTGGACCGCATGTTGCACCGCAGAGGCAGTTGACGCAGATTCCGGATGAGGCTGTTATGGAGGTATGTTGTGTGTCCCTTTTTTTTGGTGTTACAAAAGAGAAGGCAAAGAGTGAAGAGCTATTTGCTGAGTATGTTCTTATGTGATAGAAATTCCGCACTGTGTTCAATGCCTTCGGTCATCGGAACCATCATCTCGTGAAATTCCAGAAGTCGAATCTGGAACGCCATGCTGATGGGCTCTTTGTCGCGGATCATCTTCCTGTCTTTGGGATTGCGAAAACTATGGAACGTGAGATTGCGCATATTCATTCAGGAAATGACCACTCGGTTCATATGGTTCTTGCGCCGGCTGATTGTATGGTTTTCTCAATTTGTTTGTTTGGTGTTTGTGTGCTAACTTTTCTTCCTAGGTATCAAAGTTATCGAGGCTGGTTGGGGCCAGCGTCATGCGTTCTCGGGTACATCTGCGATCGGGTTTCTTTCGCTTGGTACGAGGCCTGATATCCCCGCGGAGTATTTGTTGATCTATGCGCCGCGAACGGAAGCGGAGATTGAGACGGTTATGCAGATTGTTTCAGCGGGTGTCGAGTTTATGACGGGGAGGGAGGATGTTCGGTAGGGTCAACGAGTGCTTTTGGTACTGACCTTATGCTTGAAGGGGTACTGGTGGTGTGCTAATGTGGATGTATTCTTCTTCTGGTGTATGCGTTGTGCTTGGTTTCTTTTTGTTCTCTGTGCAGCTTTATATACCCCACTCTTCAATTTATGGAAATTCATACTATATATATACATACGTATATGGCAGCGACAGTGCTTTCATAATCAATGACACACGGCGGATCTTATGTATACCTGAGAGTACATACCACATTCGATCACGGAGGATATGAGTACATTCTATTGTTGGTATTGCAGGTATGAAGCAATGCCTCACTTCTTTCTACATGCACCCATCATATCTCCACCTTTGCGAAGGGAATAACCATGAAAGGCTTCTTTGCTTATACGTCCAAGATGCTCGAAACTAACCATTGGCCCTGCGTTGGCTCTATGGATATGAAATTGAGATACCATCATCTACTACTAGTAGTGTCAATTTGGACCGAGTACATAGTAAGGGTGCCTTTATTAGAACTCACCTGCAACAACCTAAATAATATTGTGAAGTGAAAAGAGCGTGTGGAGAAATAATACTTCATACATAGACGTTCTGGTAACTAGGTAGAAACATATTTGTCAATTGTTAGGCGTAATATATAATTGAGTGGTGGGTTTCATATTGTAGTTCTAAACCGAGGAATTTGCGGATCATCATGGAATGTTGGGACTAGTATCCAATATTTTTTTCTCCTCTGTGTGTTATTATCTTAGGTAGTACCGCTACGATGTCTCCATGTAACTGTATCTATAGCGCAATCCCACGTACATGGCTAGCGGGACCGAGGGAATGGTCCGTCCGTGTTAGTAGGCCAAAAAAAGACACATATCTACTAAGAAAGTGAGAATACAAATGATCATTATGTTTTCTTCCATCTTACTACGTATCATTGTAAAGGACATGGCTTGGCGGCAGTCCTCATGCCCCCGATTTGGAGACCGAGCCACTGTGTTGGGGCTATAATATGGAGAATGGGGCAGTGAATAGTTGAATACGCTAAGGCAGGGGGAAAAAATATTCCAAACTTACCCGTTATATTCCGGCTTAGATTTCCCACATTTTTTTTGTTTAAATAGGAGAGACCTGAAGTACTATGTATAGTACATACATATTGTATGTATAGGTAGGAATGATATCCCCAGCCAAAAGTTGGTAGGCGGCCCCCTTACCCGAGATATGAACCATGGCGCTGGGTTCTCAACGGCGGAGCCGGACGGGTAAGCCCTGTCGAAATCCCGACAGTATGGATCTTCGTATATTGTACTTTGTAGGCTTTTTTTTTTTTTCTTCTTCTTCCTTTTGCTTCAGACTGAAGAGTCTTTTTGACGACTTGCGAAAACTTAAAACAGTGCCCGGACCACATATTCTTCTAAAATGGATACGGGTTTATAGGCGTAACCAGAATGGAAGTAACCTGCCTGCTTTGCCGTATATTAACTGTTACGGGAGAAGTAACCATATGCACCAGTCTTGGGAATATGTATGCAACGAGATCCTTGCATTTGAGATGTATATAGTTGCTGCGGTCATGGAGTGGGACCTGATCCTCTCGGAGAATTGACCTAGGGTGAAGAAAAATCAGGTGTAGGTATCAGGTGGGTTGAGGATAATTTCAAAGGTGTCTCCTCGGTGGATTCGGATGTGGATACTGTCGACATTTTTGTATATTGTAATGGTAATCGCATACTCCGTACCTTCACCCAAAGGCTGTGCATATCCACATTCACACGGGATATCTTTCCCGCGGCCTATCACCCGCCCCAGTATGCAAGTACCATGCACCAATGCAAACAGGAGAAGTATGCAGAAAAAAAGAAGAGGGTAACGGCAATATCCACTGCCTCAGAAGTACTTCTGTCATATTATTTGGGAGCGCATCCGGAGACTAAAAAAGTCCCTGTAGCAAATCTCCATAATGTTCGCCACTCGGGCCAACGGTGGAATCTTGGAATCTCAAAACCTTCCAGACAAGCGGTGAGAGCGAGAGCGAAATAAGAGGGGCCAAGGAATAAAAATCAATCAAAACCATCCAGAATCAAACCCACAATCCCGAGGGAATGGATGCCCCAAGGAGGAAGTTGCTGATCCTGTCCGTCGAACCCCACTCAATTTGAGGGGCTGTTGGAGCCATTTTGGTCAAACTGGAGCCACTTGGCACAGTACTGCACATTGGAGGAACACGGCCTTACTTCGCGGCGTGAGGGTGTTAGAAACCGAGCTGTTGGGTCCCAACTGTTGGTACCTTTTTTGGTTGCATTTCTTCATTCAAGTGACAGCGGGAACCGGTGATCCCTTTCCATGCCTTTGGAATCGGTAATACAGGGCTTATTTGGCCTGTACAACGTACATAATAACGCAAGGGTTGGTGTGAATTCCAACCCGGCTTTTCTTCTTCTTCTCCAATCTGCTCTATCATGGCCAATTTCTCAATTCTTCTTTTCTCCGTATGGTGTCTCATGTTGCACAGCGGCTGCATTGTCGTCGTTTCAACCTCATGGCGAAATGCTGCATAATTTGCTTCACTTGATGGACTTCTTTTCTTCCATTCTTCACCGAGTCATTGTTACATCGTTCGCTGGTGACCTAGAAACTCGTGGGATCATGATGAGCAGCCCGAGTAAGGTACGATTCAACTTTCTGTAGACTGGCAATTTAACCGCTGATGACTGTCGCGGAATTACCTAGCTTGTTTAGCATTGTGACGACTCTTTGACGGGTGCATGGAGATCCCAGTCAGATTCAGCGGCGTGACCGGATTTGTACTCGATCCACACCGTCGGGCGCCCTTGGACCCTCGAGGAAAGTAGGTACTATGCGATACGGCGAACTGTGCATTAGTTGACGGCACCGCCTAGTTTCAAGGTTCGTTAGCTTGGCTTTAAGAAGCGGAACCGAGTCATATCTATTGTGATACTTATCCATTCTGGTACCAGTCGTCCGGGTCGTGAACCACTCTTCGGCTAGTCCACCGACCCGCATTTATTTTCTTTCGTCAAGCCTTGGTTGAGGTAACCAGTGTCCTGGATTAGCAAGAGCCTCCTGAGAAGACCGCCTCAGGCTATCTTTAGTGGTCCCGCTAGCAAGGATGGGAGGGAGCGTTTCGGAGTTGGCCCCAAGGAACCACATGAACGATCCGGAGGGGAGTTGGAAAGTCCGCATTGATTGTATTTGGTTACCCACGCAGGTCCCATCTGTGCTAAATCTTCGACCTTTAAGCACCCCGTGTCTTCACAAATCGAGTATTGCATCTGGTGTGGTCTTTAAAGGAGGCAATTCGATTGGGTGGACCGCTTGGCCTTCCCCATTCGTACACTTTAGTACGTCCCTTGTATAATTGGAAGCCCCTCCATACAGCCTTCGCGAGCAGACGCCCAAGGGTGATTGATCCTCACGCGAGCCGCCATCCTCTCCGAGGGTACCGCCGACGTCTTCAAGTGGCACCCGATCGCCCCCATGAAACCCCCAGCACATCAAATTTCACTCCTTTTTCGGATATTGTGATTTGGAGCAAGATCTTGCCCTCGGAGAATTCAACCCCGCCCTGGCCAGACAAATCAGGGTATACCAACTCGGATTTTCCTCTTCGTCCACAACACCACACGATTCAGGGTGACAATGGCGTATGCTAATTCTCCCCATTGTTCACTCGGACCAAGGGCAACTGACGTTGATGTCCACCAGGAGCCCCGATTCACAAACGATAGAATTAGACCGTGAATATCTCGATACGGTCACAGTTCAGGGCCGTGAGTATCAGAAATATTCGATCGAGCATCGTACGTACTTTGGACCGGTCGATGAGGTAAGACGTTCAGATTTTCCATCGTTTGTCTTCTCACTGACAGCTGAACCAGGAAGAAGCACAACAACTCGAAGACCAGCAACAAGTTTTCCAAAGAATTTTCGATAATCGTCTGATCTTCCCACCAATCCGTCGACTGAATAGAGTTCTGGACTGTGGGCATGGATCCGCATCCTGGGCCATCGATGTTGCTGAGCAGAATCCTGATTGCGAAGTAAGATGTCCCTTTGATTGCGCCCGACAACATCCTAACATTTGGTGGTTCATAGGTCATCGGCGTAGACATTGCCCCTCACATGAGTCCCGACGACATGCCCGACAACTTATGGCTCCAGGTAAGTCAACCTGCCTCACATCTCACCACGGGGGACGGTGTGGGTTACACCACGAGAGGGCTGTAACACTGCCTCTGACCCATGCCTTGTGCTTCGGGACCTTTGTGTGATCCGTCAATGTTGAACGACAGTTCTGTTCAGGTGTGTACCCTCCTGAAAAACAGATCGCTAACATGTGCCGAATAGGTCGATGACTTGAACCGCCGTTTCACCTTTCCCGCAAACCATTTCGATCTTGTCCACTCTAGACTCCTTGCGACCGGCATCAACCGATCCCGATGGCCATCCTATCTTCGTGACATAGTCAGGTACGAATCCTCCAGAGCAGGCTGACCTTGCCGTCGCTCCAAGGGGCAGGAGTTCTCCAACTGGAACCTCAGGACTAACATCAGCGGTCGTCAAGGGTCCTGAAGCCAGGAGGTTGGGTCCAAATAGTGGAAATATACTTCAATGTTCAATCAGACAACGGCTCAATCACTGATGAGCATGCCTTGAGGAGGTGGAGCACACAATACATGCGTGCTCTGGAGGACAGGAAAGATCTTCGGATCGGATCGAAGCTGAGAACTCTCATGACCGAGGCGGGGTTTGTCGAGGTGGATACGAAGATGATTCCTCTTCCTCTGTCTGCGTGGTCGACTGGTCGGTATTGGCTACCCAAGAAGCACGAACGAGATTGACTGATTCAACGCAGACCAACGGATGCGAGACATCGGCCGATACAGTTGTCCAAACATGCAGCAACTCCTCCGATCAATTGCACTATACCCATTGACTCAACGCTTGCATATGTCCCCAGATGCTTTCAATTCTTTGGTGGAGCAAGCGCAGCAAGAGGCAGCAGATCCCACGCTGAAGGCATATTTTCCACTGTACGTATTGTTCCAATATGAAACCGAGAGACACAGTCTAACAGAGCAGATATGTGTGCATTGGCAGAAAGCCATAGAGGCATGGATCTGGGCAAATCGGCAGGTGTGATAGCTCGATAGGGGCAACCTCTTGCGGAAGAAAAAAAAAAAGAGCTCGCAAGACAATTGGGCCCGTTATCGATGCCGTTCCTCCTGCAGTCCGCATCCAGCATATTGTACAGCTCTTTGTTGTTTTGCTCTTCGCATCCCATTTGCATAAACACATCGCATCAGCAGAAATATGGTTAGTCGAATGAGGTTTTTTTTTTTTTTTGGATTGCACCAGTTCTTTTCTTTTGCCGTCTGTAATGCAGTGGGGATCCGTATCAATAACCGTCGCTGTATGTTTGTCGAAGTCCAGTGGAGACATTCGGAATCTCAGTATGATTCATCGAAAGAGGACTGCATGGTCGCATAGTGAACGAGTGGGACGACTCAACGGCGATTGGGGTGAGAGAATGCTCGTAGTCCACCGTGCGAATCACGGTTTCTGCGAAAGCCAACAATTCCCACATGCATCAAGTCTTGGCTTTGAAGAGCCTCGTATCCACTCGAGATCGGTGTTGGGTTACTGCCCAACGTGGTGGGAAAGTGAAGGTGTCTTGAATGAAACTCGGGGTCGAGGCATAGCTGCCGCTGCCTAGGGTAAGTTGAACTTTTAGTTGACTGCTCCTAGACAAAATGCGAGTGAAATGAAAGAGGAAAGGATTCGAGAACAGGATGCTTGGGGGTGCAGATTAAGCTGTTGAGATCGTGCCCAGTGCGCGATACCCGACACCGTTGGCCCCCGATCTGACCTTACCCTTTAGAGAAGGATGTTCTGGAACCCATCACGCTCCAAGAGATAAACCTGATCAGCGAAGTTCGTCACGACAAAAGATGAAGAACATAGAGGAAGATGAAACAGTAGGGGACTTGGGAAGTTACCGAACTGACGGAACCACCGATTTTCAGGAACACATGATTTACACCCATTTCAGACAGTATACATATTGACTGACCTCAATGTCAATACCAGCTGTTAACAATGTCCACACCAGCTTGACAACTTGAACAGCTTCGCGCCATCACGCCATCACGTCTTCAGGCCTTCAGGCCTTCAGAGCAGACCCTCCTCTCATGTCGAGAGTGATAGCCTCGAGCGGCAGCGAGCCCCTTCAAGCCTCAATGAGCAGCCACAACGTCCGTTACACATTAAGAAACGTTCAGTTCCGTGTCTTACCGGTATTCTCTATGCAGCAGGAGCTCTGATAACCAATACACCCTTCACCGTGTTTGCCGTACGGATTTGGTACCCAATCACAACATCCAAATCACCAACAACTGGGAGTTTACACGAGGAGAGCTGCATATCAGGATCGAACTGACGCTAGATTCTTGTTGATTTGTCCATTTCCTTCTCCCTTACTCGGGAAGAGACCTGCCGCCTCTTAGTGTCTTATTAGAGTTCCTCCCGGAATGCCCCTAGGTGAGAGCGACGCTAGCTCGAAGAGTTGCGGTATCTGAATTGCCGAAAAACCCCACAGGAGCTCGAAACGTATAAGCTACACACTCTCCTCTTTATGGGTGTGTTGGGGAGTGACATTGCGGCGACCATTGGGCACAGATCTACCCGAGAGTCATACCTATCGTGCGCAGTCCTTGTGATTGGTGTGCTCCAGGGGCTCTGAGGCCAAAACAACCATGGAGAGGAGAATCCAGACTAGACAGCTTGCGGATTCGATCAGTGCCAATCAATCATGGAAGATTGGTGCTTGGAAAACCAATACTAGTCAATTTATACATGTGGAAGTCGCCGAATACTTTTGCCATAATCAATCTCCAATTCATTTGTTTTTCCTGTACGAGTACCTGAGACCAAAGTACCCCTGTTATATGCCGATAGTAATTGGCCCCCAACTTCAACTATTCTTAACAATCGTTGTACTCCGTACTCCGTACACAGCCGAAATTAGCGTAGAGCTAGCCAAGAGAAACATACGCAGGCTTGACCCCGATCTAGATGTGTTGGTGCCTGAAATATAAGGCAACAAGTCCTACCCAATCGGGGAAAGCGGGGAGGAAAAAAGTTGGCGCGGATTTTCATTTGAGCTCCGGAACAGTCGCCAATTCTTTTTCCTTATCAAGTGACCACCAACAAGATGCCTTCAACACACAATAAGGAGAAGGCCTGGGATACAGATGATATCGATAAGTGGAGGGTAAGTCAATACACACAGCTGCTGTCTTTTTTTCCCGGTTGAAAAATCGTTACTGACGGATCCTCGCAACAGATCGAAGAATTCAAACCGGAACACAATGCCGCGGGCAGTTTCGCCGAGGAGTCGTCCTTCATGACACTCTTCCCCAAATACCGTGAACAATACTTGAAGGAGGCATGGCCGGTGATTACACGAGCGCTGGAGAAGCAGGGCATCGCCTGTACACTGGATTTGGTTGAGGGTAGCATGACAGTGAAGACGACGCGGAAGACCTACGACCCAGCAGCGATCATCAAATCCAGGGATCTGATCAAGCTGCTCGCACGAAGCGTACCGGTGACACAAGCAATGAAGATCCTCGAAGATGGCGTGGCATGCGACGTGATCAAGATCCGCAACCAGGTGCGGAACAAAGAGCGATTCGTGAAGCGGCGACAGCGCATTCTCGGCCCGAACGGTTCAACCCTCAAAGCGCTCGAGTTGCTCACCGACACATACATCCTGGTGCAGGGTAACACGGTGGCCGTGATGGGTCCATTTAAGGGACTGAAGGAGGTGCGACGCATTATCGACGACTGCATGGCGAACATCCACCCGATCTACCACATCAAGGAGTTGATGATCAAGCGCGAGCTCGCCAAGGACCCGACGCTGGCGGAAGAGTCCTGGGACCGGTTCCTGCCTAACTTCAAGAAGCGCACGCTGTCCAAGCGCCACGTGCCGTTCAAGGTTACCGACAAGGAGAAGAAGACGTACACACCGTTCCCTCCTGCGCCGGAGAAGAGCAAGATCGATTTGCAGATCGAGTCTGGAGAGTACTTCTTATCAAAGGAGGCCAAAGACCGCGTTCACAAGGAGGAGGTTGTCGAGCGACAGCGCCTCAAGCGGGACGAGAAGATGCGCGAGCGCGAGAAGGATTTCGTTGCACCCGAGGAGGTGACGCCGGCCGATCTCGACGAAAAGAAGAACAAGAAGGACAAGAAGGAAAAGAAAGAGAAGAAGGAAAAGAAGGAAAAGAGCAAGCGGAAACGCGATGTCGAGGAGGATGTCGACGCCGACGAGGCTGCCGAGCGCAAAGAGAAGAAGAAAAAGAAGAAGAGCAAGTCCAAGGAAGTTTCTTCCGATGGGGAATGATCTACTCTTTAATTGTGGTATCGGTATCTTGTATCGGAATTGGCGCTTATGGCAGTGCATAGGTCTGGCGTTTAAATGTCTTGTCTCCTGGTTCTTCGTTGCAACGTTGCAACCCGTGTACGCTCCAAGCTGGTGTGTACATTTACAAAAAATATTGTTCAATACCAAGAAATGATCTAGTTTTACGCACACTGTTTTTGAAATGATAGTGAAGTTCTCTGTTCATCTGATCAATGGCCGGCCGCGTTCAAAGAGTTGATGCAACTATTGAAACGGCAAGGTCCCTCCTATATATATGTCTTTCTCTCAAACCTATGACTCGCCACCTCTGTCTTTCTATCAATAGCTGTGTTCGGTATATGTCCACTTTATATCACGATTTCCAATTGCAGTCGCGGCATGTATATTATAAAAAACATCAAAGTATGTATTCCCCAAGGCCGCGGGGCCTGTATAGACAAACACCAGAAAAAGTCAACCACCCATGATATATCTGAAGACAGTAGTTCAGACCGCTGTAGAAGTCCCCTTATCAGAAGACGACGACGTACTGGCATCCAACTGACGCAACTTATCCAACAAGAACCTCTCCTGTTCTTCCTGGCTCTTCTTTAAATCAACACCCCAGAACAGAATCAAAAAGCTGACAACACTCAACCCAAACAAGAAGTAGAATGGCAACGAGACATTGCCCGACGGACTCGCATCGATAATTGCACTTGAGACGATGGGACCAATAAAAGATGAGGTCTTGCCGATGATGCTGAAGAGACTAAAGAATAGGAACTCGTGGCCGCGTGGTGTAACCTCTGAGATCATGATTTGCGAGTAGCTGTACCAGGGGCAGATGAAAAGACCGTAAAACGCTTGGTAGACCTATGGAATCGATCTAATTAGAGATTACTGCTCGTATTGCAGAGCGGGATTGACATACCCAGACTTCCCATGCATTGTGGAAGCCGAACTTGTCGGTCCAGATACCGATCATGCCCCAGCCATCAAGTAGGATGATTCCAACGGCAATGGTGTTGAACATGGTTTTGGTTCCGAGCTTGAAGCGCTGCTGGATTGTCCAGAATGCGTATATGCCAACCGCCTAAGAGAAATCTGTCAGTCTGTATCAAAATCGCTCAGGAAATTAAAGCCCACCTGTGCAGCAATACCAACAATAAGCAGATATGTCAGTTCCAGGGTATTATAAGCAACGATGCTATTCTGCAAAGTTGAAATAACAGTCACAGTGGTATTGAGAGAGTCTCCAAGTAAGAAATAACCTATTACCAGTACCGTTAGCTCCCAATAACCAAACAACAAACATGGTAGAACACAAAGTCTTACCAATCAGATAGAGGAGACTCTGCTTTAAATGCCAGATCTGCTTCATAGCATGCCACAGCTGCCACATGCCTGCAATGAGAATAGACCGTTTCCCAGGGTCTTGACCGGGACGGCGTTTCTCAAGAACAAACCACGGAATCGAGACGAGCAACCACACGCCGGAGACGAAAGCAATCAGCACACTCAGCCCCCAGTTGTTATTGTTCTCGCTATCATTGACATTCAACCCGAACATGATTCCCACAATAATCGCCAAAATAAAAATTTCCGCAACGGACTGAACATAGAAAGCAACATTGGCCAGTTTGCTGCGCATCATGGTGTCCGCATAGTCGTATTCATCACGAGTAATCTGCCCCGCCACATATGCGTCGGCCTTTTCCTTCAATTCGAGGGAGTTGCGCGCCAATCCCGGAAATGCAGCGGTCCAGAAAGTGAGTGTGGTCTGATAGGCGATCAAACCGACCATATATAGACCGACTGCGACATGCCATTTGTCCGAGGTATGGACACCTAACCAGCCAAAGCCGATGGCGTAGGCAATAATGGACAGCGCGATCAAGATGTTGGGTCGCCAATAACCGAAATCAGCGAAACTGCCAATTACCAGGAATACCACGACTTGGATCGCGAAGGATATTCCATTTGAGAGGAGCACGATGCTGTTGACCGTGCGTGGTCTGCCTATAAAGTCGAGTAGTCCATCGGAAGGGGCTGCTGCCTGGTAGAGCAAGTTTTGAAAGGCAGTTGGCGCGAAGTCTAGAACGGGTCAGTTTCTGCTTCCAATTGCGAATTGAGATCCTGATTGAGAATGCGGATAGACCCACTGAACAGTGACAAGCCATTATTTCCAATGTAATAGCTGCAATCGCGGTGTTTAGTTTCCGCACATGGTCAATTCAACGATCCACGCACGCATAATAGGCCCAGATTTCCATCCGGGTGGTGCGGTATCTCTCGTCGAATTGATCTGGTGCAGTTGGCTGGTCGATCTTGTTTGGAAGACCATCCACCTCCACAGTGGAGTGGGCATCGTCTTTGTGCTGATCCCGGTCCATGACTGAGGAAGAGAGAAGATGGAGGGACCAGAAAATGAAGAAGAAGAAAAAAAATCGACGGAACGGGACGAGTTAAATGAGCAACAGGATTAGCCCCGCGTGTCAAACCCTCATCTTAAGAACCAGTTGCATTGCAATCAAAGTGCCGATCACGATAAACTGGATTTGGTCAGACTGGACTATATCGCGTCGGGTCTAGTACTAAGTCAGTGCTTGACTGCTTTATCTTGTCCTATAAGATCGTCAGATTTCTCAGCTTCCGCATTTGGTGGCTTGCTTTGGTGGCTTTTGGAAATAGACACCTGATCTCTCAGGCCAACAGGGCAAAATTAACCTAACTAGGTAGTTAGTTCCAAGATTACGAACTGTAGTCCAGATATCCAACAACTTGATTGTCAACGGAGCTAAGTCGGGATGACAACTGGATCAGTCTCGGGGAGACTCGCTTCGGCTCATGGAGCTTTCCAACTGGGTACAACAAGCCGGACTACAGTTTTTCTTTGTTGACTTTGTCCAACAGCCCACAATAATTCACCTCGTATATCTGCTTAGGCCGACAACGGCGGGGAGAAAGACTGGGGTACATGCTTATTTTAGTTTGGTGCGAGGTGGACAAGGACCAGATCGAAGATATTCTGCCCTGTACCATCTTTTAATCGAGGGTATGTGCAACCTCCGAGCAGCGTTCGCGGCAACTTCATCCAGATGATATGTTTCAAGATGCCCGAGAACATCAACTGGCAAGCTCTGCGAGATGCCTGGCAGTTGCTCGTCAAAGCCAACCCTATCCTTCGCACAAGAATGGTGCGTGTTAATGCCGAAGGATACTATTAAACTGTAGTATAAGAAACGGTGTCCATGGAAAATGAAGATAGTATCGGTCAAACTCTCGATATCTGGGGCATTGGAAAGCGAATAGTGCAAATCATGGTTTTGAATAACCGCACCATGAACTGCATGGGCTTTCCCACTCACCATGCCATATACGACCGTCATTCAATCCACGAGATCTTCCGCCAGTTTGACGGTGCGTACCATGATGCCAATCCCTCACAGAACCCCCTAAGCCGTTCGTTCAATACTACAACGATATCAATAAAGGGAATCACTCGACATGGGTTGAAAAGCTACGCGATTTCAAGGGACCACTATTTCCCGATCCCTCGCTAGCACCCGAAGGACATACGATCCTAACCGACGCCAACCTTCAATCCATCATTCCAAGAGGCCCCCAGCATTCCTGCTTCACCGTTAGCAACATGTTTCGTCTCGCCCTGGCACTTACCCACGCTCGCCAGACTGGATCTCTAGACGTGGTCTTCCACGCCGGAGTATCCAGTCGAGGAATCCCCGTCCCAAACGTCCGGACGCTAACCAACCCATAGTACAGCACCATTCCCGTGCGGGTGAATCTATCTTCCCAAATGAGTGTCCACGACGCGCTACAGACCATACAAGGCCATGCCATGGAAATGCTTCCTCTCGAGCCGTCCGCAGTCAACAAGATTAGCACAACAAGTCCTGAGGCTAAATTGGCGTGCCGGCCATCCACTTTGTTAATTGCATACCCCGAAGAAGACGCGGGATTCGCCGGGATCTTCTCGAGTGTTTTGCCATTTGATTATTCTCATGTGAATTTAGTATTCATTTGTTGTGATCTGCTTTCCGGATAGCCGTTCAATTACTATCAAGGCCCATTGCACAAAGCTTCTAGAAATCCATTGTAGACGCTTCAGGTATGTTATTATCCTATTCTAACACTGTTGATTTAACTCCGGGGACAGAGCTCTAGTCAACTACGTCCTACAAAATATGAGGTAACTGCAGTGTCTTTGTGGGCTCATATTCCATCAATAGCCTAGCCTACATCCGTCTTCCACTCTAAGGGTTCATGCATATCGCATGTCATATATGAGCAGAACTCAAACATCCCATCACTAAGCGAATGAAACAAAGGCTACTCGGACCCAACGATGCTGCGAGATGAACTTCAAATTGTTACTTTTGATATAACGTACGAGGAAACCATGTGATAACTTATATAAGTATAATTCTTTTAAGTGTAATCTTTAAACAATAGGTAAACAAGAGTAAGAAAATATTACATAAAATCAGCCGATCACCGACCATCAAATGACAGACTAAGGTGAGTGAGTATCATCCAACCAATCACTCCGAATCGCCCAAGGAAAATGACATGCTTAGAAGGTGAAAGCAAGGGCGAGAGCAGCAACGAGGGCACCGGCAGCGGAGCCGGCGACACGGGTGGCAGAGCTGAGGCTCGGGGAGGCGGAGGCAGCGCCAGAGGAAGAAGAGCCGGAGCCGGAACCGGAACCAGAGGTAGAGGATCCTGAGCCTGAGTTGCTGCCACCAGTGGCGGTAGCGGAGGAAGCAGAGGCAGAGCGAGAGGCAGATCCGGAAGCAGAGGCAGAGGCAGAGGCAGAGGCAGAAGCGCTCTTGGACTTGGGCTTGGTAGAGGGGCGACCGGTCACAGCGGCGGAGGAAGGAGCGGCAGAGGAGGCGCCAGCAGGGGAGCTGGCGGGACCAGAGCCGGAGCCAGAAGGATCAGAGCCGGAACCCGAGTTGGAGCCAGAGCCAGAGCCGGAGCCAGAGGCATCAGAGCCGGAGCCAGAGGCATCAGAGCCGGAAGAGGCAGAGCCAGTTGCGGAGGCAGAAGTGGCGGAAGAAACGAAGCCGGACTTCTCGGCGAGACCGGGGCCGGAGGTGCTGGAGGAACCGGTGGCAGAGCTGGAAGAGGTGGAGGCCTTGCAGCTCAGGTCGTACAGAGGGGTGGTGTCGGTGGAGGAACCAGTGACACCGAAGCTGGGGGCGGTAGTACCGGCATCCTCGAGAATGTACCACCAGGTGTTGGTGTTGCCCAACAGAGGGCAGGCAACCTCGTCCCAGTACTGCTTGGCGTTGGCAATGCTGGCGACAGCCTGGTTCTCAGTGGGGCCAGTAACGGGCCAGCCAGTCTCGGTGATCCAGACCTCCTTACCGGCAGCGACAGCCTTGGTCTTCTCAACGCCCTTGTTGAAGAGGGCCTTGGCATCGTCGATGGAGTTGGGGTCAGTGTTCTCGTAGTAGGGGTATCCATCGAAACCGAGCCAATCGACGGCCTGAATGACGGCAGAGTTGGAGCCGTTGGTCCATGAGTTCCAGGTGTCGACGTGGCCAATGGGGGCACCGCTCAGGGAAGTGCCGGAGATGGCGGAGCGGACCTGGTTGATGTGGTCAACAAGCTCGGCGGGTTCGACACCGGGACCGGCATTGGACTTGACACCAATGACGGAGTTACGGTAAAGATCCTCACTGCCAACGGAGATACCGACGACCAGCTTTGTGAAGTCATCGCCGTAGGTGTTGATGGCGGATGTGAGGGCAGCAATCTCGTTGCTCATGCCACCACCGGAAGCCCAGAGACCAAGGAGAAGGGTAGTCTTCTCCTTGATAGCGGCGGGAATGGCCTCAATGGGGCCGTTGGTTGTGCCACCCTGAATCATGGTGTACAGACGGGCACTGGTGAAGGCATTGTCGGTCCCAACGAGATTCTTAGCAGTTGCAAACTCGGTCTCGTAGTCGGTTTGGGTCTTGACGCTGCCATCAACCTTGGTGGCACCGTAGTTGAAACCCTGAGAGATGGCGTCGGAGGTAGCGACGGCCATCGCGAGGGCAAGGAATTGAGTGGAACGCATTTTGAATGTTTTAACGAGTGTTGATAGTCAAGATAAATGAGTAGAAGATGAAAAAGATAACCTGGAGTAAAAGAATGTAGCCAGGGAAATTCTAGGAAGACAAAAGATGAGAATAAAAGTGAAAGTGGAAGTGGAAGTGGAATTGGGAAATGCAAACGGAAGAGAAGTAACCCTCTAAAGCCCTATGAAGACCGAAAAGCAAGGTCGGTTCTAGCCATGAAAATTCAGTCTAGATTCCGCCACAGCGTAGGTCTGTGGATTTGGTGGGTCAGAACACGTTGGCTTGTCCACTTTAACCCTGTTTCAAACCCTCCGATTGGCTGAGCCGATAGTTGACTGATTCCAAAAATATGCGTGAGCTGTGGGGCTTGATGAATCCATGGATCCCGAGGCTGCATTCGATGATTTTGCCCGATCTCCCCGGATATTTCCATCCGACTTGGGCGTTTCTCCCACCATTCTAACATTGAACTTGAATAAAATTTGCTCATTTTAATTTGTTGCATTTGGTACACAATGTAGTGGGTCGTAGACACCTTAGAGTACTCCGTAGGGAGTGCGGAGTACAAAGACCTTGTCTGTGCCCAAACGGAATATGACAGAGACACCCTAGTGGAGAATCGGTGTCATTGCATGACCGAGTCCATTTCCTGGAAGGTTCCATCAGGGGCCTAGTAATCTCTCTCCAGGGCTATACACCGGTCTATTATTAACCAACCCCTTTTTAAGCTCAACCCTTGATAGATTGATGATCGGCCGGTAGGGGGCATCATGACGTCCTATTTGTAGTCTATGTTGTACTCTGTTGTTGTACTGCCGTTATCGAGTCTAGATGCCAAACAACAGCATTTAATATTTGTTGTTTTCTGTATGCCATTCTAGGGGAATTACCGTTCCAACACATGCAGATAACTCCTTACCCTATATTATATTTTGATCCAATCACACCCATTAAAATACATTGTAGTTCGGAATACTCCGTATCCTTGCCCAAGTCGACATTGACTGATCAGACTTGTCAAGATGAACAGAATTAGTTTGGTAGCTCACACACTTTGTGTTAGAGATCAGCGTAGCTTAATGTTTTACCCGGTGATCTTGGCCTTGTCGATCTTGTTGAGGCTTGATTGCAGGTATTTCGATTCTATGTGGTGGGCTGCTGACAGGAAAATAGTCTGTAGAGAATGGTTATTATCTTCTTGTGGTTACTTTTGCGAAACTATTGATCTGGAGGCTTTGTGAAGGATCCATGATTGTAGTAGTGCCAATGGTGTGATGCTTTTTAGGATTGAAAAGTAGCATGGTGTCATGATTATTCCAAGAACGGAGTAGACACATTTAATTTCCATGTCATCTGTTCCTTTGACTGTCTACGGAGTAGTTCATCTCTTAATAGATATATTTTTCATCTACTTCGTATCTGCTGAAATGGATGGATTATATTCTTAGATTAAGGGGCCTCAGTGTCCGTATGTACCCAACACTAGCCTTTTAGGCCCTCCCCCCTACTATCACTTCCAAGGCCCAAATTCACATCATAGCCTCGCATTGAATTAAGTGATTGATAGTCCAACACCAATTTGTAGTTCATCAATATTTGGCTCTATGCATTTTCATTGTGCTATATTTAGCAATTTGTCAGCTATCTGCGATAACTAACCAACCTGGAAGTGGGGTAATAGTTGTCCACGGGTGCAACATGAAAGGTATCTTAAGTTATCTTTTCCTACGTTAATCTGAAAGTATGACAATCACTAAGGAACGGGTTCAAGAGGTCTTGAACAAAACTGCTCTCCGTTCTCGGGGCCCAGGAGGTGCTATCGCTGTTGTCAAAGATGGCGAGGTCATCGGCCAGCGTGTCTGGGGATTCGCCGACCTAGACCAGCGGATTCCCATGACAGCTCAAACGCAAATACCCATCTGTTCAATTACTAAACAGTTTGTGTGTGCGTTATTGATTGACCTAGAGCGCAATCCAACTCCGACATTAGCTGCAAAGGGTGATGTCCGCAAGCAGCTCTCGGATCATCTCACCGAAATACTAAGCCCGGAGCTCACTCGTGACGGTGAACTGACACTTGATCGGCTATGCGACATGCAATCTGGTATGCGCGACTACTGGGCTATGACCACACTGTGGGGGTCCAAGCCCGACGACGAGTTCCTGATAGCCAGAGACTGCGGTCCGCTGCTTGCCCGAACCAAGTCATTCCAGTTCCAACCGGGAACGGAATTTTCCTACTGCAATGTCAACTTCCACATACTCGCCCGAGTGATTGAGCGAGCTACTGGGGAGTCTCTTAACAAATTGCTCGAAGAGCGAATACTCCGACCGGCTGGTATGAGCACGGCATTCCTTTGCCCCAACACCGCACATCACCCACCCCCGTGTGTCGGGTATGAGGGCGACGAGCAGCACGGTTTCACAGCGGCTATCAATAGGATGGAATGGTCTGGTGATGCTGGACTAGTAGCTTCACTCACTGATATGATTGCGTACGAGAAGTATCTCGATCGCTGCTACGCTGATCCACAAAGCTGGTACCACACCGCTATTGCTGCTCCGAAGTTCAAAGATGGTACTCCTGCAAGGTACCGTTATGGCCTACGTCACACTGACATTGGGGGTGTGAACACGATTGGACATGGTGGGGCGTTGCGAGGGTATCGACTGCACCGGCGACACGCACCAAGCGAGCGCTTCTCCGTCGTCGTTATGTTTAACAGTGAACCCGGCGCATTCAGCCCCATTGACATCTTCCGAGAGCTCTTGGAACTACCGAAGCCCGTGACAGCATCCGTCCAGCCGGCCGCGGATTGGGTCGGCGCGTTTCTTGATCAAGATACTCAGCTGTCGATTGTCATCACCAAGGGCGCACGGGATGGAGAGGTGGCCATCAGCTACGATGGGTCTGCCGACCCTATCAAGCTTAGTACACCGAATCATGGGAAGTCTGACTCTATGGTCGCGACGATTGATGGAGATTTGTTGAGTATTCATCGCGTGGGAGATAACCGGATACTCAGTGCTCGGCGTATTGTCCCGAAGGAATCAGTCCTTAAAGGGACTTCATTCCAGGGTATCTACCACTGTGCCGAGGTTGAGTCTACCTTCCATTGTATTGGCGAGGACGGCGTGCTATACGGTGCGTTTGATGGATATCTGGGTCAAGGAAATGCAACTCCCATGAAATATTTGGGAGATGATGTCTGGATTTTGACTTGTCCACGTGGTTTGGATGCACCAGCTCCGGGAGACTGGACCATTGCCTTCTCTCGGGATGAGCATGATGCAATCCAAGGGTTTACGATTGGTTGTTGGTTGGCCAGGAAGGTTGACTTTGTGAAGAAAGCCTGAGGCATCAATTCTTCTATTCTAGTATGGGAGAAATTATACAGCAATTCCGAAATCGTTGATGGAATATCCAATTATTCAATGCCATCAAGTGGCCATCTCGCCTTCGTGGGAGCGAAGAAAATCGAAAATCATCTGAGTAAAGAATGTTGTGATCCTCGATCCAGGCGACCTTTACCTCCATGGCAGGAAAGCTCTGATGGGGAAGGATGGTCATATTCAGCTAAGCTAGGAACTACCTAAAAGACGAACTGCGAAGGTGACCTGGCAGCTGGCAGGTCACGGGCCTAGGAGGGTGACACACCTCCCCCTCTCTCCCCAATAAGCGTCTACGCGACATTAGGGACACGTCAGATAGTAAAAATGGAATCCATACTAGCCTTTTCTCTATCAACGTTTCAGAAGTATCCGAGCTTGGGCTTAGGCTATCAAGCTCTACCTCGTCGGAAGGCAGGTCATCGTAGGACATACCGCCGTCGTCACCTTCGTTTTCAGACGCGTTGTCGTCGCCTTGTTCTGCTGGAACGATATCACCAGACAGGCTGATATGGTCGTCTAGTGCAGCCAATTGTGGGGCGTCTTGCTCATAGGACATATCGGGGTCGGACTCCTCAATGATCTCAGGGTGCATAAAACCGAAGGGGTCACATGGCCAGTATGTAACGAAGTGTCCATACGTTTTGATGGGCAACGACCCATGTGGCTCCACGTGATTCAGGGTGGCGCATTGGAGGTTCCTGGCCTGCTCCGCGTGGTCTTGTAGTATGGCATCTTTATCCTCTCTAGCGGCTTCTGCAGCCTGGAGAATGGCCAACAACTCGCGGGAATGCATTACATCTCTGATCTGACGGAATCTAGTCGCTCTACGGGCCAGAAATTTTCACTCCACCGTGACTCATGATCAGCATATCTGGTAACTTCCCTTGAAATCTGCAAAGCAGACATTCAACTGCTCGGATGTGAAGACTGCACTCAAGATCCTGGAGAGCAAAACGAAAATAAGAGTCATTCATAGAACCCCATATTTACCCGAAACATAAAGTCACCCTCTGTGTCCTTTGCCAGTTCTGTAGCTCTCTTCTGTCGGTCCCTCGAGACGACGGGCTGTTTCCGTCGATGAGGCACCAAGAGTACCACCTCATCTCAGCTCATTTGGTGTACAACTCATAGATGTTCGCGCAAAGAGTGGGCTGCTGCCAACCTACTATCGCATCCCTCTTTTGGGCATGCGAAAGGACGTTGTTCTTTCGGTTTCTGGACAGTCTGCAACGGCGCCAGCTCGCGGCTCTCTTCGTCATCTTATGGACATGAATTATGTGAGTGCGTGTTGCGTCATATATAGAGAAGCGCTTTCCACAGGATGTAATTGGCATACGTTTGCGCGTTTGACGTGTTTTTAGCGGGTTCCCAAACAAGAGCAATAACCCCATAGATAAAAGTCTAGGGGTGGAAATAGTTTTGAAAATGTAGAAAGGGAGGTAAGAAAAGAAGATGACAGTGTTACGACAGAAGAGAAGAAAGCGGAGTGGATGATTTTGAGTCGCACCTTCCTCATATGCATATGTTAGCCACTTTACAAGATCGAAGAGAATGAGGGAAATGAAGTAAGGAGTAAGAAAGAAAACAATAAAAGACAAAGGAGGAATTGGGAATGTCAAATATTTTAGAGACGAGCTTGAGATCGAATGAAAGCTACTCCAGAGAAATCTAGCATCTTGTTCTTGGCCAGATAATCTTCCAGGATGACCGTTTGGGCTTGATTCGTTGCTTGATTCAATTTCAGCTCGGTTAAATTGTTGAGCCACCGAGGCTGTTGGTCTTTTCCGATACAAGGCAACTTCCCCCTTTTGTTTTGTACCGGCTTGCTGAGGGATCCATGGATGGAATCTAGCTGGGCTGACTGTTAGCCAGGTTAAGTTGATTCATTCCCTCTTGATTGAGCCGGGCCCAGGTAAGAAATGACAGGCTTAGGATTATCCCGACTCTTTGGTCCTCGACGATGACCAGTTGAATTCCCTTTGCAACTGATTCCGTAGTGAGCAACGGCCAGCGTGTGGATGTGACCTTCGGTTTACATACAGAAAAGTGATTTATTAGTTGTTCAGCCATGGATGGACAAAGTAAGCATTCGGTGATAGCTCAATTTACACATGGCTATAGGAGGTTCATCTTTCGTCAGAAGAGTGTTCGAGACGGGAAGTTTCCTCTCCCGCCGTTTGTCTCATAGAAGCTCGTAGGCTGCATGGAGACAGGGAAACTATGGTACAGCGTAGTCTGCGCTGTGTTGGCTTGTTTTGGTACAAGGAGCGGAGATAGTGATAAATGATGATGCCCACAAGCAGGACTGGGGTAGTTGATGGCGTCCTGGAATTCTGGGCTTTAATTTGTGCAGACGTGAGAATTTGAGATGGATGGGGACTCGTGGGGGGAAAGAGGAAGAGGGAAAGAAGACCTCGTCACAAAAGCATCAGTCTCACACCTGATACCTTTGGCATACAATTTTAGGCAATTGGAAATTCATCGCACCGACTTATTATATCAAAGTCCCAGTCGTATTCAGTGCGTACAGAAAAATATATACATCAACAGTCATTGCTAGCAGGCGCTTTTCTGCATGCTTAATGCTCAGAAACAAAGATACCGGCCATACCCATGCCCTATTCAAAGCAATTAGTATTTCCTAAGATTGAAGTCATGATAATCAGAGGTAACTTACAGTGCCTACACACATCGAAGTCACGGCAACTCGCTTATCCTGTCGACGCAGCTCAGACAGAGCAGTGACGACCTGGCGTGCACCAGTGGCGCCCAGAGGGTGACCAAAAGCACTTTGAAACATCAGCATGGTATCAATCAAATTTGGTTGAAGATCACTTACATAGCACCACCACGTGGGTTCACCTTAGATTCATCCAAGCCCAGCTTGTTGACGCAGTAAACACCCTGTAATGACGTTAGTCTTGCACAGTACATAGTCACATACTTGTTAGCTTACCATTGAAGAAAAGGCCTCGTTAATCTCAAAAATATCAATATCATCCTTGCTCAAGTTGAACTTGTTCAGGATCTTGGGAATGGCAAGGGATGGGCCAATACCCATGATTCTGGGCTCCAGACCAGAAACGGTAGCACCACAGAACTTGGCAACAATGGGTTGACCAAGCTCCTGAGCGCGCGACCGCTTCATGAGAATCAGCGCAGCAGCACCATCAGTAATTTGACTGGCGTTACCGCCAGTGGTAGCACTAGGGGCCCACTGGGGGAAGGCAGCGCGGACCTTGCCGAGGGACTCGGGGGTAGTACCGTAGCGAATGCCGTCGTCACGGTCAACGACGATATCCTTAACCTCACCGGTCTTGGGGTCCTTAATTTGAGTCTTGACAGGGACGATCTCGTCCTCGAGCCAACCGGCCTTCTGGGCGCGCTCAGCCTTCTGGAAACTGTTGGCAGCGAACTTGTCGTGCTGCTCGCGCGAGATGTTGAACTGGTTCGCTACATTCTCCGAGGTCTGACCCATGGGCTGGGAGTTCTGGGATGCGATCGGGTGCTTGGTGATGCGCTCGGACATTTCGGGGGCGCCGCCGTCGGCGTTCTTGCTCATGCTCTCGGCTCCAACTGCCACTCCAACATCGATGGATCCAGCGATGATTTGGTTGGCGATGTTTTGCACGGCCAGGAGACCGGAGGAGCAGAATCTGTTGGCGATGGAGGCCGCTGCTGTTACGGGATAGCCTGCTGCCAGCACGGCGGAACGGGCGACATATGCGGCGCCGGGGCAGAGGACGTTGCCAACGCAGACATCTTCAACAAGGTTGGGGTCCAGGTTGGATTTCTCGCGAACGGTCTGTTTGATCAATTAATTACTGCGATTTTTTTCCCTAGTCATGGTGGGGAAAAGTACTGTGAGCAGTGAGACGAGGAGGTCATCCACGGTGGTATCCTTCAATCCACCCTTGCGGGCCTTGGTGAGCGGCGTGCGGGCCAGATAAGTGATAACCTGCCAATTGATTTAATTATTGCAATTAAGGAGTTGTAGCTGTAATCAGCAACATACCACATCATCTGGGTTCTTGGCCAGAATCCTTTGGCGGGCCGAGCCAGGAGCTGCCAGCTGGTTGGCGACGGAGCTTAGACGTTGTTGTGGTGAAGACATTTTAGGGAATCAAGAAGAATTATGAAGCTGAAAACAAAAAGAAGGCTGACCGTTTTATTATCCGGTGATCTCCTTCAACGGGCTCAAAAAGAACCGCGGCTTCTCCAGGCTCTTCTCCACCCCGAGCCGAGTAGGACTTCATCGTCCTCAGGACACAATTTGAGCCGACTGGAAGTGCCGGGACTTCGGTGGTCACACCGTGTATGATACCGTTATTTTGCGTTCCTCGGCCTGTAATGGGATGCTGTGATTGGTGGATTGGTGGTATCAAAAACGTTTCACGGCCCCACATGTACATTGGCAGACTTGATCATGATGGGAGTATATTGATAGAGGCATGGTGAAGTCGAGAATAGTCTTATATCTTGTCTTTAATACCTTGATGTGGCCTCATTTCTCGAGAGAAATTCTGTAGCTCTAGAATAACCGTGGACCTTCAAAACCGGGGAAAGCTCAGCCAAGCCTTACCGGGGAGAGAAATATGGGGGATTTCCCGTCAAAAGACTCCACTGCGAATTATGGCCAATGTAAAGGGGATATTGGTTTTATTGTGTACGGCAGATCGAGTCTGGCTAGCATCCGTCATCAGAGCCCCGAGGCCTGGGGGATCTTTATATCCGTCGCCATGCCAGTTGCCGAGAGCTTCGGAATTTCCACTAGGCAGAGAATAGACGATACTCCCCTCGTTGCAAAAGAAGCACTGGTTTTGTCGAGAAATTGAATTCTTGTGCTTGAATTGATAAGAACCATTTTGACTGGAAAGAACTCAGCCTTCTCTGTCGCAATGGACATTTTCTCTGAAGTCGGCGCGCCTGCTGTGGCCATGGCATCCGCCTTGTCGGTGGCCGCCGGTGCTTATCTCAATGCAAAGCTTGCCATCGCCACTGACCTGCGAACAATTTACAGCGATAAGGCTGCCGCGAAGCGGTTAAACGAGCGTATCGCTGAACTCGACGACTCAACAACCATCTACAAGATACTCGAGCGGGCGGTGGAGGTGGAAGGACGAGCTGCCACCGATGCGCTCTGGTTTGAGCAGAAGACGTGGTCATACAGCCAGCTGAAAGACTGTCAGTATCGTCCTTTTGTTGGTAGAAAGCACTGAATCTGATTGCTAATGCGCCTGTCTGCAGTGGTCGACAGAATGGCTGCTCTTTTGAAGAGCCGTGATATCAACCCCGGTGATACAGTAGGTGTTTTTACCACCAACTCACCGGAGATGGTCGTGACTGTGTATGCTCTGTCAAAATTGGGCGCTGTGGCAGCAATGATCAACACCAACCTGCGAGGTTTGTGAATCATTCAATTCCAGTCCACGAGAATTGACCGCTGACACCAGTGACAGACGATACTTTCATCCATTGTCTCAACGTCTCCGGCTCCAAATTAATCATCTCAACCGCAGATCTATCTCAACACGTCTGTGCCGACCTACCACACTTCACACTCAACTTGTATTCATTCGAAGGTACCGAAACAGGCTCAATCGAGCTCATCACCTCTAAAACCTTGCAGCAATTCTCCCCATTAGGACTTGCAGCAGCCAAGCGCAGCCCCAAAGACCTCTCTGTCCTGATCTACACATCAGGAACAACCGGAAAACCCAAAGCCTGCGCGATCCGCAACATGCTCACCCTGATCACCTCCACCCCACTCTCAGCAGACGCCAACAACCCCTTAAAGTACCAGCCATTCCGTGTATACTCCCCTCTCCCCCTCTTCCATGGCACAGCCTTCTTCATGGGCCTATGCGCCGCCATCGGCAATGGAGGCACATTATGCCTTGGACGAAAATTCTCCGCCTCAAAGTTCTGGAAAGAAGTGCACGACTCAGACGCAACCCGTATCCTGTACATTGGCGAGTTATGCCGGTACCTTCTCGCGACGCCCCCATCACCCTACGACCAGGACCACAAGTGCATTGTGGCAAGCGGTAACGGGCTGCGTGGGGAGATCTGGGAGAAGTTCCGTAAGCGCTTCAACGTCCCTGAGATCCGTGAGTTCTACCGCTCAACCGAGGGAGTCGCCAAATTCGATAATCACGGTGTTGGAGCTTGGGGTGCTGGTAAGGTCGGATTTTCAGGGCCTATCCGTCGGTTCTTGGAAGATGACACTTTCATCGTCAAGTATGATACTGATACCGAGATGCCGTACCGGGATCCTGTCACTGGGCTCTGTGTGAGGGCTGCGCTTGGACAGGAGGGTGAGGCAATTGGTCGCGTCCGGGACCGTGGTACGCTGATTGAGTATCTCGGTAATAAGGGTGCCACGGAAGAGAAGCTTCTGCGTGATGTGTTCCAGAAAGGGGATTTGTTCCAGCGGACTGGTGATCTGGTCGTTCAAGATGAATCTGGGTGGGTGAGGTTCCAGGATCGGGTTGGTGACACTTTCCGCTGGAAGGGTGAGAATGTTAGTGCGGGAGAGATTCGGGACCATATTTGCCGGATTGAGGGTGTACATGATGCTGTGGTATATGGGGTGAAGCTGGGCGGGTATGTATTGTGACCATCTTGCTCTTTTTTGTTTGATGAGATCGCATTGCTGATGGTCTCTACCAGGTATGATGGTCAAGCTGGAGCCGCTGGTATCACGCTAGAATCACCAGCAGCTGAGACAGAATTGATGTCGACCTTGTACAAGGAGCTTAAGAAGAAGGGTGTGCCTTCATATGCTCTGCCTCGATTGGTCCGACTCACTGAGAAGTAAGCGTTCCCTTGATTCCAATAATTTGGCCGTGACGCTAATCGAATCATAATCTCAGGGTTGCCACAGGTGTCACTTTCAAGCAGGCTAAAGGTGACTTAGCAAAGAAGGGCTGGAACCCTCGTCAGGACTGTGGCGGCGACATTTTGTACTGGTTGGACAGCAAAGAGTATCGGAGGTTGGAAGAGCAAAGTTGGGCAGAGATTGAGAGTGGTAAAGCCAAGATCTGAGCCTTTACTTTTTATAATGTACCCAATGCTTGCCCCTTTTGTTTATCAAGCATATAGAGACCCAGAGTTTTGGAGTGAACATCAACCATATTCCCGAAACCTAGGCGGCCGACGATACTACTAACTACTAGTACCTACATGTACCTAAACATCCACTGTCCATGTGAACACAATACGCTGATAAGGTTGCAGTAGGTGGGTCCACCTGCCCAAGCGGGTCTAAAGGATCATCATGGATTAGTGGGGCCCGGGGTAATATGGAAGGTTATTTCTAGCTAGTAGTACTAGTATAGCCCGAGCAGTGCAGTAGTTAAGAGTAAAATTGAACTTGTTCTTAACTGGCCGTAACCTAGACTTGATTCCCTTGGAACCAGAGTCCGCGGTCGCTTTCACTCCTGATCTGGTCATAGGATTTGGCACATATAGTCTGGATATCGGTATTTCCCAGCTTGAGGTGGAAATTTCGTAGATAAAGTACTTCCGCCTTATAGGGCTTTTCGAATATTCGACACCACCGAGAGCACTGTGGGTGCCTAGCTGTGACTTTGGTGCGCGTTATAGTAGCATTATCATCAAAATCGGTAACGGCACGGCGTCTCGCAATGTCACCGGCGGCTGACTTGGTGCCGGCTTCTCATGTCATAGAAATGAAGAAGCAAGTATACCTTCCCCTAGGACAAAGTTATACATTAAGAACAGTTTTGTCTACAATTGCGAGTGTAGCGGAAATGCTTGACCAAGAGAGCAAAGGAAACACTCCATTATTAGAATCGTGCACTCCCACACATGTAGTAATATAGTATACTAGCATTGTATACTCGGAAACATTATTATGGGGGTTGAGGATACTACCGTGTGAATAAGTAAAGAGGCATGGATTTAATGAACAGTTGGTTGATTGAGGACATACCTGAGGCTACTTAAGCATGAATGCAAGTTTTGCGATCCGTCAAACTTTGATACCTAGTAGCTTACGAGATGAGTCAATCAATTTAAAAATTGAAGCCACAACTCACAGCGGGATATGGAGGATGATAAGTTGATCGCAGTCGATAATGTCCGGCCCGCTAGGTCCACTGGCTCATTATGCCAAAACTGCACACTCTTCGAGATATAGAAGGCCTGAATTGGAATTATCTTACGCTTTGTGAGCAACATGGGAACCCAATTTAATACCTGGCAAATGTGGTTCACCATCACTGTTATCATACTTACTAGTGCACGCTATGGATGACGTGAAAAATCGCCTGCTCGAGGTTTCGTGTCCCGACCTACCCCCCGCAGCTATACATCCAGGATATCACCGCGGGAGAGGACCATTTTTGGGGAATGTATACCATTCGGATATTATCTCAGTTCATCATTTACATCTCCACATAATTGACAACCATACGGGCAGCTTAAGAACTAATTAGGACAGTTTCTTGAAGCTTAGAACGGATATCGCTTCAAAAATGAGATGATCGACCAAATTAATTCCTGGTATGCCCAGGTGGTGCAATCTGATGCCCGTCATTCCAAGCAAGTTCGGATGCCGACCTCGGGATCGATCATTGATAAGGAACTGCAGTATAGTGGGTCAGATAAACTCCCCACCCATGTTGGAGGATGAGATGAATGTTCTCAGTAGAACAAGAGACTACAAACTCATATAGAAAAACATTTTCTCATGATAGCAGGGATTTTCTATCCCTCAGCCACACCCTGCAGGTACACGAGGCGTACAACCATGGGGCGACAGAAACGGTATAGATCTGCCACTGTGATCACGTGTGGAGGCGTCATCAAGTGACATCTCTTTCTCCTCACCCCAACTTCTATCTCCGCCTCTTAATCCCAACCCCACACCGTCTCTGAACTAGAAACCACTCTTTTTGTGATATTCGACTGCACATACCCTGGAGATCTACCGTCTGCGTCCATTCTCCCGACCGAACTACGACCGTCACAGCCATGAAGTTCTTATCAGCCGCCAGCCTCTTGGTTCTTACTGCTCCTCTTGCAAACGCAGCCGCATTCTCTATCTTTGATCCCACGCAGGCTTCACTGAAGACCAACGATAATGAGGAGTTCCCAGTCAAGGGTGAAAACCCCTTGCAGTACTGTGCCAAACCAGACAATTACAAGATCGAGATCGAGTCGGTGGATCTGGCACCCAACCCGCCTCTACCGTATGTCATCCACGAAGAGTGTTCTCTGAATGTAGTAGATTTCACTGGCTAACATTGTGGTGATAACAGAGGACAGAAGTTGACAATCTCCGCCAAAGGTACCTTGCTCGAGAGAATCGAGAAGGGCGCTACCGTGAACCTGGAAGTGAAGTGGGGTCTCATCACTTTGATCAAGCAGACCGTCGACCTATGCGACGAGCTTAAAAATGTGGACCTGGAGTGTCCCTTAGAGAAGGGTGAGATGATTTTGAAGAAGGAGGTGGACTTGCCCAAGCAGATCCCACCGGTACGTTGTGTTTACAATCGTTTCAGAGCCAAACAAGCAGCTAATGTCCTTTTTACAGGGAAAATACTCCGTTCTTGCCGATGTTTACAACAAGGAGCAGAAGCAGGTCACTTGCCTCAAGGCGGATGACATCGTGTTTCACTTCTAATCCTGTCTAATATAGACATTGCTTTGCATCCACTCACCAGGTGGCATCTCTCGATTTGCTGGACTGTCAACGTCATTAGCTTATATGCTTGACTCGTGGGCCAAACATCCGCAATGCTCTTTTCCATGCCCTTCTCATGATTACTTCACTATTCGCATCTGTTGTTTCAAGTTCTATAACGCTTTGCAGTACATTCAGATATCATTTGGACTTTCTCATTCCTACGCTCTTTGCATCTGTTATCCTTTTCTACAGTCATCTGTATGAACCTTAACGGGTACGACTGTAGACTTGACAGATGCTCTGTCTGTGGCTACAATATACAATCACGTCATCTCCACTGACCAGGCAACGTATGTTGAATAAATTCCGTATAGTCACGAAGAAAATATATGTAAAGGGTATATGAACTCGTTCCAATTGCGTTGGGTATCTTCCCTATCTGATATTTCCATGTTTTCTCCCCAATTATACTCAAGCGCCGAGATCATCAATTATAGGACCGCAGGAGTTGTGTAAATCCTGGAGGCAGAACGGCGAATCCAATTCGCCATTTCCCGGCTAAATGACAAAGACAAAGATCCATGTAATACAAGCTTACTCTCCAAACAAGCGGCGGACACGCTTGAGGACACTGTCCTTCTCCGGGTCGTAGGGGTGGTCTTTGCTGGGGATTTCGAGGACAGCTGGGAAAGGATCGGCGAATGCGTCGACACTATGGCGGATGCGTTCTGCGATCTGAGGTTCAGGCACCCGTTAGCGGTATGTAGGCAACGAGACGCGAGCGCTGTAACTATTTAGCGCAATATATGGAGAAGCAACTCACATGCTGGTTAATCAAGAGCACGGCAATGTCTTTCCTCTCCTGGGTGAAGTTCTGGAAGGCCCGTTCGATCTCCGAGGTCTCGGTTTTGGAATCAACGACAAGGAAGTTTCTCTGGGAGTTTGGTGGTTCGGTGACATGCTGTAAAAAGAGCCAGTACGTTAGGATGGCTTTTCATATAAATGCCATAGAGACGTGACATAGATAGAGTGGTGAACAGTATCATACCCCGATGCCTGCCAGCAAAAGACCAGTAACGGAGCTGCGTAATAGGTTGAGCTAGGTCAGCTGGGCACGATCTTTTCAGGATAACCATTTCAGAAAAAGGGTCTTTACTCTTCATCACCAATGACAGCAAGGAATTGCCGCTCCTGGGTACCGAGTTAGCGATCGGAGGTGTTCATTCCATTGACTCGATATCAAGTACCTTGTACGTTGCGGCCGATGCCGCCATGATGAGGGAAAAGAAAAGAAGGACCTGGTATTTCTGAGATACACAATCTTCGAACTGGTAGTTCGAGATGGATCAAGTAAATGACAGATCTGGTTCAGCTGTCCGTTGATCGCCGTGGTTATCGCCGGGAGCTGTGAATTACGTAAGCTGATGCAATTTCTCAGACTTGTTTACTCCACGGCTTCATTGTCCGCAAAACAATCGTGGAATGACCTTTGACTCAACCACCCCTCACATTTGATGCCCTTACATTATCTTCTTGATTAGGACGAAGCTGCTGAGGAACAGCTTCCGTCTACTACGACCCCATCCTCCGTCATCATGCCTCGACTTGTACGCCGCCGCCCGCTCTCCGAGCGCATACTCTCACACCTGAATCCATACGACTTTCTGCTTTGGCTTTCTGAGGAATTTGAAGGCGGTGACTGGGACCAGCTGGAGAAAACCTGGGCTTTGCCTATCGGTATTGCGCTCAATGTGATATTCCTCATTGCGCGAGCAAATAGTCGGTCCGGTGGTAGTAAGGCTTTTGACGATGTGTTCGGCGACGACAATGGCACATCCCTGCGTGGATGGCTTGTATGTTACTATTCTCCCGTCTTTATACCTCTCATGTTACCTACCTATTCGTGAGATTCATGGATGAAAAGCTAATCGGCCGTGATTTGTTTACTTAGGCCTCATTCATCGTCCATTTGATGGCCGTTGCCTCTACAGCCAATGCTATCTACACATTCCAAAAGAAGAGACACTATCGCCTGTTTGAGAACTCTATTGATAACAATCCGGCGACACCATCAGCACATCGTGTACGCGTTGACTCAAGCCCGATGATGCCGTCTCCCCTGCGATACATTGCCAAGGCGCTATCAACAGAATCAGCACACTCGAGAGCCCACCCCGATGCCCAGCGAGATGTCTGGGAGCTTGCAATTTGGGATCCTTCGCCACTTTGTCTCCGACTCTTTTGCCTGTTCAGCCCAGGGCACGTCTTGGTATACTGGCTGTTCCTCCCGACACAGCTTTCCGATCCACGCCCCAGCGTGACGATTGTGACAACGATCGTTCTGACAGTTCTTCTGTCTGTTCAGATGTCCTTCCTCTCTTCTTCTTACACACAACAAGCAAAGGACCAGAAGGTGGTACACAAAGAGGTCTTCAAAGAATATGACACGAAATATGTACAACCTCGGACACATCCCTTGATGAGAGATGTTGGCACCCAGTTCTCGGATCCGTATGGTGAACCACCAAAGACCGAGGACGAGTGCAACAAGGTTGAGACCTACAGCCCGGCCCACATCATTAACCGCAGTTTTAAGACCAGTCCCAACCCTAATTACCTCAAGCACGTCGACCCAGAAGGTTTCACCCCGGTCCGCCAGCCGACTGCATCTACTCCGATCTCCTCTGTATTCCAGGGCCCGCCAACCAACACCCCGAGCATGTCTCGAGATGGCTCGCCGATGACTCGAGGCACCAGCCGCACAACAATGCGACAACCGCAGTTCCGATCTACTGCAACAACAACCGGTGATGGAGGAAGCCTCGGTGTTTACAGTCACGCAAACTCTCCACTGAGGAAGTCTGCGACAACTTCATTTGACCGCCGCTTACAAAACAACGGAGACTTTGTTTACAAGGAGCGTGGCACAACTCCCTTGATGCGGAGCTCTAGTCCGCTGAAAAGAAGCAGTGTACCGGGAGGAATGAACCCAGGTGGCCCAGCCACCATCAATAGATCAGATAACCTCAACACTCGCCGAGAAACGGGGAGGTTCTAAGACGAATGAATGACCAAATCCCATTTCCACAAGCATGAAACGTTGCCGACCCAGATGCGTCACATGCGCAGTTTCCTCCAAGGCATGCGTGGTAATAACGCGATAGCAGCACCCTTCGTACATATATCCCATTATTAATTGAGGCTATACCCGATACAACTTTACATTTGAGGTTTGTTTCATGGTATTCATGCACGTTCGCCACGCTGGGGAATGCAAGCTGCTGATCTAGGGCAACCTACCGAAATTGGTGCCCATGACCTTTCTTTTGTTTCCGATCGCTCGATGTTAGTCCCTGATTGGATTGACTTGGTTATTGTATTCAATTCAGTTGGCAGTCAGCTTGCTTCGGAGTTCTCAAGTTAGAGTCCACTACGTCCACGCTGTGATCTAGATATCTGGGTCGCGCTTTCTTTTCAACGTTCAGCCCTCGCAACTTCCATGAACAGATATGCAAATGATGCAATTCATTTTTAAAATGTGGGACTGAGAGGAAACTGCCATTCCAGATGGCGGCAGGACATTTCAAACAGCATTCACCCCAGGGGTTGGCATTCCTCATCACCGACCTAGCATTCCGACAAGCGGCACATTATTCTTACGCGTTATGAGCGCGATCACCTGTGAAGATCTTTCAATAGCCAGTCTTTTTGGATCGCCCCGCTCCTCTGGATCTATCATATCCTTCGACAGCCGCCGACCGATATAGACCTTTGCTCAGGAAAACCAGCCCAGGGAAAGACGACTCTCTCCTCGCTCCTACACGGCATGGGCTAGGACAACTATTCACTGTGCTATGCCCGTAGCATTTGCAACCCCGACCACAATCGCTTTCAACCTCAACCCAATATGGACAAAGCTCATGTCAAATTGCCCGATGGACACCTTGTGAATCTCTCACCACGACCTATAAGCCAAAGTGCCTACAAAGCGTACCGAGTCGAGTACAAGCGCTCGACAGAGCTCTCGGCAACACCTCCCCCTCGATACCTACAAGAAGCAAGATCACCAGAATATGCCATTGCAGGAGGCGCATCGGGGAATATCTCTCAACTGCCAAAAGCTACCAAGCTGCCGGTCCCGAGGGCTCTCAGCGAAAGTCGTAACAATGATTCGAGTCAAACGCCTAGTCCCACCGCACTTCCTAAACTGAGCCCAGCCAGCCACCCCTCGGGACGGCTCGGTGAGCAGTCTAGATCATTGGACAAAGGTCACGATCAATACTGGAAGAAAATCCGGGACAAATTGGAGGACTCGCCGTTGTTAACAAGACGTGCCAGGAGCAAGGAAAGTGACAATACCCAATCTCCTAACTCGCGCATATCATACCACCGCAGCAGGCTTCCCGCCAGCACTAGCCAAGACCAAGCAAGATTCCGGGCTGATAATAAACCATCCGGCCTTCCGAGTCCAAGCACTCTCAATAGCAGTCCTGCGCAGGGGTCGAGGAACGATGCTTCCACCCCCCATCCTGTGGACAGCCAAAACAAATGGCGGAAGCAAGACGACCAATGGGTCATGGATGTTACCGAAACCACGCCCCAGAAATCAGTGAGAACAGACGCGACGACTGATTCCAGCCCTGGATCTCATCCTTCCGTCTCGCCAGTGTCCGCCGAGGACAGTTCGATCACCGACTGGGAAGACCGATTCGTTGTGAATATGCCAACTGCAAAAGATCCCAATCCGCCAACGATGACGGCTCAACAAATTGCTGAGTATCAAAGAAGCATTGAACGGCTACGCCGGGACGGCGGGCAAATGGCAGATCCGGACACAGTGCCTAGTCGTAACGTGTCTCCCGAGATCAGATTCAACCCTGGCGAACAACGAATCCAGAGCCCAAGGGGGGTCAACACATATGACGGGGCGTACGACAAACGTCAAGCGCCGATCTTGTCACAGGAGCATTTCCCATCGCCGCAGCCTCAGCAAAATGCTCAGCCGGAGCAACTTTCACAGCCTCAGCCCCAGCCCACGACTGCGTCGCAACGTCAAGTAGCTAACCACTACTACAGCCCGGATGAAATCGGGTATAATCGGATTAGCACAATTTGGGAGGAATCGCCCGCAAAACCGAAGGAGAAGCGACACCCTCAAAACGCCGACGGGTCTTTTTTAGGGTGCAGGGAAATATCCGGGGAGAAGAATCCAGACGAAATTCTCCGGTTCGCTTCCCCAGACGATGCCAGTCTGCATCCACTCCCATTGGCCCTGGGTTCCAAGAACAAACAGAAGGTGCCAAAGGAAATGAGGAAAGCGACAGACCGACAAACTACCCACAGAGTCGAGGAGACCGTAATCCTTCAAGAAGAGCGACCACAAACTTCTCAGAATTCGAGACCTGCCCAATGCTCGAAGCCGTCAGCCATGTACCAGGATCGGAGTTGCTCCCAGAACCCATCTCCAATTTCCCGGACGAGGTCCCAGGACTCGAGCAAGGAGAATTACCATTTTACCAGCAGTACACCAGAGCGGTCCGGAAGTCTGGAAGAAAATCGGGGGGACGACGATCTGTTCATTATCACACCCACTATCACACGCACTATGATTCCCACACCCGACAAAAAAGCATCTTCGCCAAAGCCGCAAGGGTTGCGTCGTCCTGGTGGCACAAATCACACAGTCACCGCCGAGGCTATCAAAGCCGTTCGGGCAAAGGCTCAGATGATTTCCACGCCATCGGGATTGCGGCCCGGGGGACCCAACATGAATATCAAGCCAACAGGGCGTACCTTGACAACTTCCCAAACGTTGCCAACCAACAGCATCTTTCAAGACGACGAGGGTCGAAACCAAGATCATCCGCAAGATCGCAATCCAGAACGAGCAGCAGGTACAGCGTCGAGTACTATCCGTGGCTTCATCCGTACCTCCGGGCTGGCCAGATCACCTACAGATAGCATTGCTACGATCCTGCGCAACCGGACCGAGTCCCTCCGTACACGCGCCGAGTCTCTACGGAATGGTTCGGGGTCACTCCAGCGTGCAAACCAGAAGCAATCGCCAAGTCCTCAACCAATTCTTCCGTCCAGGGACAATTCGGAATCATCACGATCGGAACGGTCATTTCAGTCTGCCAAAGAAACCCCACCGGTCACGGCAAATAGGCCTGCTTCGCCGCCAAAAATCACCACCACGGAAAACAAACCAGAGGAAAACAAGCAACCTTCCTCACGACCACCTACACCAAGCAAACAAATAACGAAAAGAGTGACCTTATCAGAGGAATCTCCTTCGTCAGCAAAACCTGACAAGCCACCTACATCAACCAAAAAGATTCCCGCACTAGCAAAGCCGTCCAAGTTGGATAAAACCAAGTTGGAGAAATTCTCCAAGCCTACAAAACCAGCCGCGTTTGCAAAGTCTTCTCCCTGGGGGAGAAGAAGCCCGATACTTCACCAAAAAGGGAAGAGCACATGAAGCCCCTGCCTCGTCTCCGTACTTCTGGTAAAGTTTTGGAAATCGCCGAGCTCGATGGGCTTCAGGTTGCGAGTCCCAAGGAGTCTCTTCAATCCAACATCACAGACGTCTCTGCCGATCTAGGTGACATGCACTCCGACGACAAGGATGATTCCAACGGCCAGGGACTCAACCCCTTGGCCTTTTCACTTCTTTTCAATATCCTTGTTGTTGCCGTCACCCAAGTGAATAAAGCTCTCCGAATGGGCACCGAGAGCCCTTACGCCAAATTTATGGTTAACAACACCCTGACCATGACTAGTCACTGTTGGCGTGTCTCCAAATGCATCTATGCCGCGGTGTCTCGCTACCAGGCCACAGGCGCCTGGCCCAAGCCTCGCAGTGATCAGGCTATCAGCCAGTTTATGGTGGAGCTTTTCCAAGCTATTGTGTATTTCTTGATTCTTGGGTTTGCAGCCATGCTGATATCCCGTACTGTTGGCTACGTTGTTCTCGTGAGCAGCTGGGTTGCATGGTTTGCTAGGCCATTTGCGTGGGTCTTCCAATGTGTTGGCCGTGCCCTGATAAATTAAAATTAGCTAGACCTTTAGCTGTATGCTTGTATAGGATTGTTTCTCTGGAAGTCTCGAAGTTGGAAGGAAGACCGTCGTTTTTTGTGCTTTCGAGTCTTTGTCGAGCGGTTCTACCTACTCACCTACCGAGTTTTCTTTCCACTGTATTCCTAGCTTATCATTAAAGGTCTCAAACTTGGATATTCTACATGCAACCATTTATCCCTGGATATGCCAATGTAGTAGTAGACAAAAACTTGCATTGATATTGATCAAGGGTTATACATAGAAAAGTCAGTTTATGCATTTTACCGCCTTCGTATACACCTAAGACCTCAAAAAGGACATCAGAGGGCGCCTATATATAACATCCCTAATACCATGGTCCAAATAGATCAGATTATTTTAAAGTCTTACGTTGTCAAGGGCAGAGACCGCAAAAGTGGCGGACTATTCTTGTATTCTTGACCTGAAACCGAGACAAAAGCTGAAGATCCCGAACACACAGTGATGTGCCTCGACTCTCCCATGTGGAAGAGGGAAATAAAAGAACATCTAACTTTTGTCATGTCCCCCAAATCCAGAATTCAATCTTGTATATGATATTCTCTCTCTCTCTCTATCGCTGTCAAAAAAAAACCAAAAACCAAAAACAGATCCAACTCCGTCATCCTGGTGTTGAATGGTCCTGTATGCTAACCCGGAATAATCTTGCAAAAGCAATGCAAAAGCAGAGAAAAGACAATGGAACTTGAACATAGAATGTCCATTTCTCAACCATTTTTCATGTGCGGATTTGCGTTGAGCAATCCTTTTTTTTCCAATTCATGCGAACAAAGTATCCACGCAGCCGAGTTTGCAACTCGGCATTTTGTGAGATAAGAGAAGCATTCAAGCAAAAAAGCAAGAACCGAAACAAGAGAAAAAGAAAACAGAAGGGAAAAGGCAAAGGGAAAAAAGCACGGCTGGGCTACTGCCACTGCGAGCTCTATGAATTGAAACCAAGCGCAGAAGAAAAAAGACGATAGGAACGGAATAGGCCGTAAAGGCAAAATTATGTTGAATTTTGTTCTTCTTTCATTTTTTTTGATTCTTCCATTCTTCTGGACTGTACTAGACCAAACAGAAAATATGACATAGTCCAGAAGAGAAGCACCGGGCCCGGAGAAGAATAGACCCAAATAAAAGAGAATCCGATCGACGAAGCGCCATTGTTAAAAGAGACGGGGTATCGGTACATTATGTTGAAATGAAAACGCTGAGGAAGAAATCGTTGAGAGGTCTTCAGTCGTGACGCCATAAGACATTGCAGGGGGAGCCCGAGATGTGTTGGAGTAGTTGTTTGTATGGGCTGTGTTATCGTTGAGATGAGTGATGTTGAATTAGGTATGTTGAGTTGGTGTTATGAGAGGTTTGCAAAGATGGCATACGACCGAGGTAGGAGGTTGAGGGTGTGAATGGATAAGCAACCAGTTCTGAGTTGAAGGGAACTGGCTTAGTTGGCAGCAACGCCATTTTGTTCGGCGTGGCCGTTGGTCAATGGCTTTCCGGGCACCTCGACGTTAAGATCTTTGATCTCGAGGCCATTGAATAATTCGAAGACAGCGTTAGATCTGTGGAAGTCGTTGTCGACGATATTGACGAGATACCAGTCGTCCATCACGTGCTGAATCAGCTTGCGACTAGGGCTCGCTGCGTCATGACACTTGGACCAATGCTCGCCCAAGAGGTAGGCCTCATCCTTCCAGGCCAAGAAACTGACTGTCTCGACAATTGTGGGCTGAATGATCTCTCGTCCAGCGAAGATACCCCATGTCAGGGCATTCGGGCTGTCACGTGTGTTGGTTTTGAGCTCGCCCTTCTTGTTGGTGGCGTGGTAGGTCAAGTCATCGTTCTTCTCAATGCGAGTGATGAGCTCATCGATCAAGTTGGATGGGACCAGAAGCTCCAGGTAGGCTTTCTGGTAAACGAAACCGTTCTTGGGGCCCCATCCGTACACAGGATGAGACGACTTGACTCCATTGACAGCGGGCTGAGAGTTGATTGTCAGGAATCCGCGCTGGTTGAGGTTGAGCAAGTCCTCCTGAATCTCGTGGGCTTCGGTCGTGATTGGCGAGTCACTCCACGGGAGTCGGTCAAGCTTGCCCGTCAAGAAATTAACAAAGATGTCCGAGATATCCTTGATCGATTTTGGTTCGCCCCAAAGTTTGATATTCTGCTCATTTGTGCCCTTCAGGCCCACACCGTAAGCGTCGAGTTCACCGAACGCAGGTGAACGAGAATCGGTCCAGCGACCGTTAGGGTACTCGTCCCATGTCTGGGTACGAGCAACGTATGATGAGTTGCGGTTACGCCAGAACACTGGTCGCACATCCTCTGTCCTTCGGCCAAGGCCAAGGGAGGGCCGCCAGGGCAGCGCGCGTTGAATTGGGGACTCGTCCGACGGGGAAAGTTCGAGCTCTTTGAGAACCAATTGCGTCGCCTGAGCCAGGTTCATGGTATAGCTAGGCAATTGTTAGGACGGGATACCAGGATTGAGAAAATTAGGAGAGCAAACTTACAAATGCAGGTGCTTGATACCAGCAGCGATTAGCTGTCTGCACATATTGGCGATCAGAGACTTTCCGATATCTCGAACCGCGGAATCGTCGTTCTTGACTGGCTCAAGGGCCTCCATCCACTCAGAAGGCACCTTAACCTTGGTCCAGTTGGACCGACGAATGAAAGAAGCGTATGTCTGAATGGGCATGATACCGGGGATGATGGGCACAGTGATGCCCTTGGCTCGGCACTTCTTCAACCATTCGACAAAGTTATCCGCGTCGTAAAACATCTGAGTGACCACAAAAGAGCTGCCCGCATCAACCTTCTCCTTCAAGTGGTCGATCAATTGGTCCACATCGGTGTTGTCATCGGCGCCCTCGGGATAGCCGCCCACACCAATATCGAAGTGGTTGCCATATTTGTCCCGAATGTATTTGACCAGATCCTTCGCATAGCAGAATCCATTTTCCGCGGCCTCCCATGTCTCCTTGTCTCGTGGTGGGTCTCCACGAAGAGCCAGAATATTAGTGCAGCCAGCTTTGTAGGCAGCTTGGAGCGCTTGGTCCACTTTCTCCAACGGCATATCTGTACAAGTCAGGTGCATGCATGTCTCCAAGCCATATACCGATTGTGCCACGCTGACCATCTCGCAAGTCAGATCCGATAAGCGACCGCCAGCACCCCAGGTGATATCGATGAATGAAGGACCCAACCCATGCATGCGGTCCATTCGGTCATAAAGGTTCTGTACACCCTGGGCGGTTTTGGGAGGGAAGAACTCAAAGGAGATTCCTGTCTTTCCCTCCGCCTCATTTTTGGCAAGCTTCTCCCGGATATGCATCGTGTCGGGTTAATCTAATGTTTGTAAGCATACCACATAGTCTCAAGGAGCCATCGATTCCATCAAGGGTTTGTCTTTGTTGTCTCGAACAAACATACCGAGGGCTGGAAATAATTAATTAGATTGTTTGTGGAACTGGGACACCTGTGCAGATGAGACAGGCTACTTCTGCTGTCTGAGAACCTGAGCACAACCCCTGTGTACTGAGATACCTAAATGTCCAGGACCTAGGAACGAAGGGAAATGGATAAAACACAAAAAAAATGAAATGAAAAAAGTGAAAGAAGGAATTGTGAGGCTCCAAGGAGAGTGAAGGAGAGGAATTGAGGAATCCGGTGAGCGGAACATTTTGGGGGACAACATTTGGCGGGGAAGGCCGGCCATCGGAGGCACGTGTTTCGTTTCTTAAAAGAGGAATTAGGGAAATATTTGGGAGAAAAGGTAAGAAAGAAAGTACATAGTATAGGAAATAATATGTGTTTCTTTCATTTCTAACTCTTTTTCTATTAGAAACTAAGTGTTTATGGTACTTTTATAGTGGAAATCACTTTCTCGGACCTTATAAGGCGTCATATGAAGCCATACCGCCTGCCCCTCCATAGAAAAGAAAGTTCCGGCAAAATTTTCCCGTTCGACTCGGATTCGCAATTTGACCTTGTCGACTCTTTGACTCCTTGACAATTGCTTCAATTCTCGCAGGAATTACCTAGCATCCCTCCAACTCCAAAAAAAAAAATGTCTACTGTTCCTCCTCCATCTGCCGATCAGGACTACAAGTCCACCCTCCTGCCCCTCCTCATCTCCAACAATGTCCTCTCGTTCGGCACCTATGTTCTGAAGTCCGGCCGCGAATCACCCTACTTCTTCACCTCTTCCCTCCTGCACACTGCACCTTTGCTGCGCGCCTCCTCTGCTGCATACGCTAGCGTCCTCTCTGCCGAGCCTTTCGTCACCACCAACGCCGACGGCACCGCTCAGCCCAACTTCGACATTATCTTCGGACCCGCATACAAGGGTATCCCCATTTGCGCATCTGTCACCAACGAGCTTGCTGTGCGGGACTCCCTATCCGGCAAGAACACCTGGGACAATGTCAGCTACTCCTTCAACCGCAAGGAGGCTAAGGCTCATGGCGAGGGTGGAAACATTGTTGGTGCCCCGCTGAAGGGCAAGCGGGTCGTCATTGTGGACGATGTCATCACTGCTGGCACTGCACTCCGTGAGGCTGTCGGCATCATCGAAAAGGAAGGCGGTATCGTCGCTGGTGTCGTTGTCCTGCTGGATCGGGAGGAACGTGTCAGCGATACCGAGTCCAAGAGCGCCATTGGCGTTGCCCAGCGTGATCTTGGCGGCAAGATCCCCATCCGGTCAGTCATTGGTCTCCACGACCTGATTGAGAAGCTGGGTGATAGCATTGGCGCCTCCGAGATCCAGCGGTTGAAGGATTACCGTGAGCGCTACGGTGCCCAATAGACATCGGCTTGTGGAATCCGCCAAATCAAGGCATGATGTATGAGCAAAGACAACAGTATGGATACCAGGAGGAGTTGCTCTGAAAATATTATTACTTTAACATTACCCATATCCAAATCAGGAGACGGGGCACATTCCTATATGGACTATTTGACTTGTCCTCGATAATTGATCCAACCATATACTTTAGACTGGCTAGCAAATGGCTTTATCATTTGCCCACCTTGAAACAACATGATATAATGGGCAAACAAACTGACTTGCACATGCTTTTGGCATCGCCCGTGGAGGTTCCCGGCAAACAGATGATACCAGTTCTCAATCGGAGGTGTTCAATAGGAACTATGATATATACTCCAATCGGGAAACATGGAGCTGTGTATGCCAGCTGTCTGATGTTCTGCTTTACTAATTATGTAGCTGAACATATTGATAGTTCGATGTGTTATCTTTAATTCTCTGAATATTTCTACCTATGTTGTATTCCAACACACCCCTGAACTGACTGGTTCCACTCGGACGCCGGAATCCCTGTGAGCGAGACAATGTTCAACATGGGCTCTAAGAAATAGATAGTCTGAATTTAAGTCTCTTGGCAGGCCAATAATGTTAATTGATATTGCGCGGCAAGCGACACACAGCACGGCAGATGCTACCGGTGCTAGGTTGTGTTTGACACCATGCCCTCAAGAAGCAATACAAGTACCCCATTCAGAACGAATTGGGCAGTCTATTTATGAAGATAGATGTATAAATCAGGTGCTGCGCTCGGGTAATATGTATCTACCAAGTCCATCACTTGATCAGCACATGGTGGGACATACCTTGATACAGTACACACTAATTCCGAAAGGTAGCAAATGCAATGGATGAGACATTTATTCTACGCAGCTACGATCTATAACATGGAGATCAACTACTGTGTACATATATATAGATGTAAGTTGGTGTTTCCAACGATCAGAACTATATACTAGATTAGATCTGAATTCTCTCAAAATAGTCAGGTTTATCTATGAAACCTTCCAAGGTTTCCCCCAGATTCTAGATGAGATATCTAATCGGTGCTGTGTATGCCCCTAATATACGCAGCTTCCGGTGATATCCCAATGGTTGCCTGCGTTCCACAAAGAGTAACAAATTGATACATTTGGACCATGATTCAAAAGCGGATTGCTTAAGAAACAAAGCGACTAATCAAAACGTCGTTCGGTATCTAACTAGAAAATTTAGGGTCATTGTATTGCATGCTAGGTTTTAGTTAATAGGCTTGCTTTGCAGCATTTCTATACTGTATTCTACTCGATGTTTGTAGAAAGCACGTTAGTTGAGTATAAGCGAAATGATGTTATTTAATAAACGCTCCCCATGTTGTTCCACTCTGTACCCTAGAGAATAATACGCCGTGAAGTTCGTTGACGTGGTCGGTGAATACACATAAACCCATGACCCTTTTCGCACAGTGAATTGCAGGTGACATGGTGTTACCTCTGTGCTATTTAACTCTACTACGTAGGAACATCACTACAGGTCCATAATCGAGCATCACATGTCATTTTTCAATAAATCAGATCCTAAGAAAACACCAAATTGTCTCAAATTCCATCCTCAAATCTCAGGTGCCTGATATACTACTTAAAATGTCGACAGATGACTAGATGTATAAATAATGAACCCAGAGTTAATAACTCTGTCAACGATATATATTTCTTCAACTGCCGTCCTCTCACAAAAAGCTAGGATAGCTCATTGATGGCCATCTAATTCTAGGACAACTGGTGATCCCGGTGTCCACGATGGACGTCAGGTTACATTTGGCAAATACAGCATATGTACATATGTAGTCATGTTCCTTGTTTAGAAGGCTTACTACATAGGCAAATAGTGTTTCGGGAGTTGGAACGGTCAAGATATACGGGTAGTGACTTGAACACCTGTTAGAGCGACTCAAGCTTCTGTGGGATCGAATATTGCCAGCAACCAAAACCAATAATCTATATAAATTAGCGCAAAGTGCAGGGTACAGGGAGGCTCGGATCTTGTATACGCATTTACTCCATACCTGTATGCAGGCTGGATAACAACTTTGGAAATGCACACTTACCCCAATAGGAAATGAAGATAACTTGTTTTTGTATGCAGTCTATCACCAAGTCAAGCAGTTATTTCTCTGACAGACACCTTTTTAGAGTTGGTGCGCGTTAGACGGCATTCCTGTTGCAACTGTTGCCTCTACCATACACCCAGGTACCTGGAGGTAATGTTCGAGACCGCGTCGATGGTTCAATATAAATGATATATGACTTCGGCATGCACTCCAAGTTGAGTACCCTGACAAGAAAATTAGTGTAGTTTGTCTGCCGTCGAATTTTCAATTGGACCAATATAAGACTGGAAGTGTACCGCGCTGCTCGGACTCCCCACTGCTTTAGACACTATCCATAAGGTAGTCTCACGGAATTGCCGTGATACCTGCAATGCATGGATTACTCGATTAGCCTCGTCGAGCAGCCATGGCCATTCCACGACGGCCGTCCCATGCAGAGAGCTATGGTTATTGCTTGAAACCCGAGCGAGGGTGACGCCTCGTAAGACACAGATCTCTGTCGCCTGAGTCCCATGGTCTCTGTAAATAGCACATAGCGGTAATTAGGATGTAGGATGTCAATCAACGCGCGGACAGAGCTCCGTGTACTTGCATCTTTTTGCCTCCTATCAGCTGCACCTTCGGCTCTAACCGTTCATTCCGGGCTTCGAGGAGAATAGTCGAAGTAGCTCATGCCTAGTATTGGGAACCAGAAAGAACATCGAGAGACTTTGTCAGAAGAAGTAGACTGTGGGGTATCATGCTCCCTTTGAACCGCATCGAGCGATCTTACCACAGCTGGTAGCGCTCTACTATCTCTCAAACATTTCCAGGTTTCTCTTATTTCTATTAACCATTCCGCAGCTCTCGATTTCCTTTCTTTTCCCACCTTTTCTACTTAGGAGAGCTCCTATAGATTGGAGGACTATTGGTCATATTCTACCTGGAGGGAAATGCTTGAAGTCTTTCGTTGACCCTAGTCCTTTTATTCGTCATCAATACACCACCCTTTCACAACCCCTGTGACTTTCCGAAAAGCAAACTGTTGGTTATCTCTGCCCTGTTAGTATCTTTCCCCTTCAGAATACCTGCGTGAGAAGATCTGATTTGCCATTGGTACCAGTCGGGTACATGATCTTCTTTCTCATATCCTTTTGAAGGAATCAACAAACCTGCTAACAAGGAATGGTGAAACATAGTAACTGTTTCTGGGAAGCTCCAGTCGGATCCACGGTCTCCCTCTCGCTCTTCGCCATATTCGACACATGCTACGCTTCTAAGTTTCTCTGAAGCGGCTTACTACATTGTTTGTTGACCATGAATTGGAGATATACATTCCCAGTGCTTGCTTTTCTCGCAGCTCCAGGAATCAGTTGGCCCTATGACGAGACTTTAACTGCTTATAACCTCAATGAGAATCGAACAGCGACCAACCCCTTGG